CTTTTGTAGAACGAATATTTTTTCATTATTTCTATCGATTTGTAATGAATTAGTCTACATCTGTCTGCTCTTTCAGCGTAGCCTAAACATGGCTACTGAAAACCTGCCTTGTGGTATAAATCTAACAACAGAGGAATAAAGGAAGGTTCAATAATACCAATGTTTACCTACCCGCTTTGTATAAATACTGTGTGACACGTATGAATGTAGTAGTTAGTAAAAAAAACCAGCTTCGGTAGTTTTCAGTTTAGTTTGAACTTCTGGTATTGGTGTTTCATTTAAACATTAGGGAAGTAATGCTATCTTACTATTTTCCCAATATGTGAAGGGACTTTAAATGCTGTATCCACTTGTATTACAGAAAAACACCAAAAAAGTAGAATTTTATATAGTTCAACAGTCAAAATTCTGATTAAATGTTTCATAAAATACTTTTGCTGTTAACATTTACTCAGATCCTGTAATAATAAACAAATAAAATTTAAATTCTAACTGTAGTATTTAAATTATTTTATACCTTTAAACCTTCTGTTAAAATTTTCACGCGTTTTTAAAATAATGAAACTAATTTTTTCTCTTTTTTTACTTTTATTTCCTCTTCTCAATTTTATAAATAACCATTAAAATGTAAATGTCTTCTCTTTTTTAATTTTAATTTTTTATATTGTTTCTTCTAAAACGTTTTCGCGTCTCTGAAGATAGCAAACTTCGAAATGTTTCAATACCCGTGATGAGCACAGCGCAGACAGCCCATTAAGTAGCTCTATCTTAACAGCAAACAAACAAATATCCAAGATAACAATTTATACTTATTAGTTTTATTACTTTCTTTTTATAGAATATTTATGTATCTTCTTGCCACAGATGATACAATTGGTTAGTGATGATTTTTAGTGCAAAACTACACAACGGACTCTCTGTGCTATGTTTACCGAACCTCGGATTTTAGCTTTGTAAATTCGTAAAAATACCATTGAACTATCGAGGAATACAGCCTGTATTCCTCTCAGTATCTTATTATTGTATTCCATTTAAAAAAAGACTGTAATGGAACTTCAAGGAATATTAAGTGCTCCGCCTTAACTGAATGAAAGCGGAACCTCCTTCCATATTAAAAGAACTGTAGCCTCCCCTTTTATAACCTGTACGTCATTGAACTATACTTAGATTATTGTTACGATGACTTTTAAATTTACCACTTTGTATTGACAGAATATTAGTTTACATGCATATGATCTGAAAAGAAAATAAACCTGTATTATACAGTGAAATATTTGAAAACGTTTTTTGATGTACAAAACTTGAAGATAGCTTTTATATGCGGAAACATCTGTTAGCTGAGTTCTTGCACAGATACCAAAATATAACGTTGATAAACGGAAAGATCGGCACATGTAGATATGTAGATCTTGAAAATCGAGTTGTTCAAAACTTGAAAATAGCGTATGTGCAGACTCACCAGTTAAAGAAATTACAGACTATTTATTTAAAAAAAAAGTCTTCTTGACATTATACAGGTGGGTACATCACAACTGGGAACATTGCTAACATGTAATAACCGTTTTCACGTGTAAACTGGACCAAATCAGAGTGAATCGAATTACACTAAACAAATATGAATGTTTTTTTTTGTTCGTTATCTACGTCTCAACTCTGCTAAATTATGTTAATACAAACTAGATCATACTGATCAAGTAATTGTGAAGTTGCATGTAGCTTTTGTCTAACCATACAGTCACAAACAAAAGTATTGGCGCTTTTTTGCTTATTATACCATAAAAAAAAGTTAGATTTCATCACTTTAACAAATAATCTCTGTCAAGTATTCATTCGAAAAAAAGTACTGGAACCCCTCCTTAACATTTCGTGCGTCCACGATTAGCTTTCAGTACAGCTTCTAGACAATTATGGTAGTTCTCAAGCAGTAAAGTAGATCTCTTTGGCGGAAATTTGGGCACATTCAACGTTATATATTTTCTTCAGCTCAGACAGATTGGACACATTCAATGTTACATATTTCCTTCAGCGCAGATAGTTTGGACACACATTGCTTGAATACAGCTTTTTTTATAGATCAGTCCAAAGTATATCTGTTGGATTGAGATCTGGTGATTGCAAAAGCCATTCCAAAGCCTTTGCCTTCTTTTCTCTCTCTCTCTTTTTCAATAATTCCAGAGTTGACTTAGCTGTTTGCTTTGGCCAATCATCCTACAAGCAGACAGTATAATTTTACTTTGTAAAATGTTTTGAAACATAGTTGCATTCATTCCTTCTTCAGTCACGCGAATATATCCACTAATAAGACAACTCCATATTATGACCGATTCACTTCCTTATTTACCAGTATGTTCAAGATGTTCTTCACTGAAGGATTTCTTTCTTTTTTCTCTTCAGTCATTCTGTGTCAATTTTTTCTATTTTTGGAGAAAAACTTCACATTTCTTAGCAAATTTTGGACAGTTTGTTTTATGATTTTTTATTTAATATTGGTTACCAACGACGTTTAAGTGCATACATTTCTTCTGTGTTCAGGTGTATTTGTATAATTCATTCATGCTTTATGCTTCTAAATCTTTCTTTAAATCCTTGGCTGCTAAATCCTAGATTTTTTTGGGCTGCTCCATGGATGCCCACTTCTTTCAGCTGAATATATTCTGTGTTACTTCTTGATTAGTTTTTGTTGTTGTTCTGTTGGATTTCGATACTCCCTATTTCTTTGATGCTACTCTTTAGCCATTACCTTTGTTGTAGTCTATGACAAGTACTTTTCTCAAGAGTAAATCCAACTTCTTTGTCTTGAACATCATCTACTTTGTTGTCACAACATCTTCTTTCAGTAGCTGTTGACAATCTTCACTTCTTTTCTTGTTATTGAAGTTATAATGCAGCTAAATTGTTTTCAATTAGTTCTATTGCGATTTGGTAGACTTTTGATGAAAGGTTTGTTTGTAGTTAAGCACAAAGCAACACAATGGGCCATCTGTGCTCTGCCCACCACAGGTATCGAAACCCGGTTTCTAATGGTATAAGTCCGCAGACATACCGCTGTGTCACTGGGGCTTGATGAACAACTGTTTGGAATTGCTTATGTTCTTTTGTGTTGTGTTGCAGAGATTGATTGTTAAACCGCCAGAAATTATTTATTTGGCCTTTGTCACATTAATTATGGACTAATGTTTACTAATTGTTTTATTTCGCATGTTTTCTAGAATTATCTTTTATTAACTGTAGGGTGTCAATATTTTTGGTTGTGACTTATAATGATGATAGTTCCATTTCGCACATTTCTAATTTTAGTTGAGCATATTAATAGTTTTTTATTCGCTTTCTGTGAACTGCAACATTTCATTGTTTCAATGATCTCGGTATGTTCAGTCTTAAACTTTTGCTAGTAAGTGCCTTAAAACAATAATTACTAATTTGTTTTGAAGCACAAAGTAATACAAAGGGCTGTATGCATGTGTTCACCATAGGGATCGAACCACGATTTTTAGAGTTGGCGAAACCATGGTCGTAATAAATGAAATACGTGTGAAACATGCACTTGTTTTTGTTTTCCTCACTTCCAAGTTTATTTGAGAAATGTTTGTTTGGTTTGTTTTTGAATTTCGCGCATAGCTACACGAAGGCTATCTGCGCTAGCCGTCACTAATTTAGCAGTGTAAGGCTAGAGGGAAGGCAGATAGTCATCACCACCCACAGCCAAATCTTGGGCTACTTTTTTACCAACGCTTAGTGGGATTGACCGTCATATTATAACGCACCCACGGCTGAAAGGGCGAACATGTTTGGTGGGACGGGGATTCGAACCCGCGACCCTCAGATTGCGAGTCGAGCTCCTTAACCACCTGGCCATGCCGGGCCATTTGAGAAATGAAAGTAGATGTAAAAATGACGAACAGTTGTAATTGTTTATTACACCACAAAACTTTAAAGCAACGAGATTATTATTAATAAGTTTGTTATACGATTTCTAATAGTCCCTACTCCCTAGAACATTGTTCATGATTTTATTTCTAAAGCTATGCTAAAAGGGATATTACTCGAATGTTACGTGTGTTTTTATTAGTAGTATAGCTTAATTCCTCTATTCTTTAGTTTTGATTTATCTTGTTTGTTTGTTGTTCAGCACAATACTACACTATCTTATCTGTGTTCCGCCCACCGCAGGTATTGGAAACCGATTTTTAGCGTGATAAGCCCACGCTTATTCCAAACTTTTCGATGGATATAGAACTTGAATTCAGTATTTTTTACGTGCATTTTGTAACAATCTAACTTTCATATATGTCTTTAAGAAATTAATAAGTTATAAGTATAATGACAGACTACACTAAATATTGTGTTACTATGTCTTAGAAGATATGGTATTTTATTTTTAATTTATTCAGTTAACATTTTGTTTTGAATGTAATTATTATTTATATATCATGAAAAATGCCTTTTATGTCAAGAAACTCACTCTGTAAGACTGATAAACTACGCTGTCAAGATTATTTTGAAATTATATACTTCATTTTAACGTTTTGTGTATAATATGCTCACTAATAAATGAAATGTAACGTTTAACTATAGATAGAGAACGCCACCTTTAAAAAGAAACAAAGAGACAGACAGGAATTCGTAAAAGTTGAACTGATTGCCAAAGGTTAGAAAGGAGCATTAAATTTTTTAAATGATTCAAAATATCTCCAGATGCACAGTGTTCATAATGTTTAAAATTAATATAAATTCGATAAGTTATTAGATTAGTCATAATAGAATGTAGTGTACTATAAGTGTATTTCAAGTTATCTTTAACTTGTAAACTCCTGTCATCTTTCTAATAGTTGTAAGGCTTCGATCTTTAAAGATTCAACTGAATCAGTTATGCCACTGCCATATCATTACAGCTTACAAGATGTTGTAATTACAGCTATAAAACGAAACAATATTATATTAGTTTGATTTAGTTAACAAAAACGTAGGCGAGGAACTGCAAGAGTAAATGATGTATCTGTTTATTTATCCTATTTACACGGGTTGTAACTAGATTTAACATACTGATTCAAACCTACATGTAACTATACTAAAAAATGACATTGATGCACATGTATTGTTCAAAAATATTGTACACATCTTGAGCAATGAAATTGGACAGTATCCAACTTCTGCTTCCACTCAAACATCTGGAAGATGCATTGGAAAGCATGGGCATCTTTGCCAATTCCTCTTGTAACCAAATTACTTTCTTGTGAACAAATACTACAAAGACATTCCTAGTCATTATTTTACAATGAATCAGAAAAAGAAAACATAAAAAGTAAATTCAATATTTCTATCGAATAATCAAACAACCAGAAAAGACAACCCTTACTTAATTCGTCTTAATAAGTAATTTGTTTTTGAAGCAAAAAAAAACAAAACATCACCTGGCATTAATTTAAGATAATATAAAAACTATCGTTTTACAATATTCTTAATATAAATATTTTCACGACGAGTATTTTAACCTAACATCAATAAACATACACGCTAACATACAGCTTTTGTACTAGCACAAAACGACCTGTTTGTGGATTGAAATGATCTAGTTTAATGTTTATTGAATATGTCAATTGCTAAAGAGGGCATTTGTCAGGTGTTGAAGTGGAGGTATGACGAACATCTTAGTGGTCAAACATAGGTGGCACACTAGTTACCCTCAGATGTATGTTTCCTTTTTATGATGTAAGATTACACCATTAGTAAAAATAACTTAAAGTGATTCGTGAATTCTCAAATAAATGACACAAACAACATTTTCATTTATAGTTATTGACAATGTACTGATATTTTGGTCAGCGAGGGAAAAAAAAGGATACTTGGACAGTATTTGAATCGGCCCACTCATATATATTTCCTTTTTGCCATCAGAACAAAACTAAAATGAATTTTGTTTTACAATTAGAGTTGTATTTCAGAGTAATTGAAAAAACTTGATTTTGAGATTTAGAATTTAAAAATGATGAAATAATAAAGATTTTTCTTCTACTGTGAAACGTCTACCGATATATTTTTGTAGCTCACTGAATAACAATTGAAATTGTAATAATTTTCAAGAGTTTGATAAAACAATGAACATTATCAATACAACCTCGAAAAGAATTCCAAGACAAATAAATATAAAATAAATAACTTTCTTTGTTTCCACCTTATAATCCATAGAACCAGAGTATAATGTAAATACAATGATTAAGTTCGCAGATCGTTCACAATAATTATAAAAATATTGAAGATTTTTTTCAGGAAATAAAGATTTTTTTACATTTTTTTATTCCTTTCAACATTGTTTGATAAAATTATTTTAAAACTGCTTCTCAAAGTCTTTTTTTTTTCTATTTCAAGTCCAAAATGTAGTTTTGTCAGAAGTTAAGAAGAAATATATCTTTGTACGGAATTTCTTTCATCGTTATTAATCGGAATATGTTATTTATTCAATATCATTACTGCTAAGAAAATATAAAATAAACAGAAAAATGTTTCCTATTTTCGAATTCAAACAAAAACCACTAAAGTTACAGAACAACGAAAGTGATAAATAAAAAACTAGTATTTAAAGACACTCGATAAACTCGTAATGAGTAAACTACAATAGGAAATATGTAAATCAATCAGATAGACTGTTGAACAATTAAGTTTTTAGCTACAAAAAATTGGAATGACATTACAATATACTGTCAGTTAGGGATAATATACCCGAAAAAATTGCCACATCATCAAGTACTTACTCTTATCTACAAATTACAAACGTTTTCTCAGAGTTAAAAATAATCGTAATATTTTATTAGCTCTAATATCTATCGCTATGTTAATTATCTACGTTTATTTAGTTTAGCACCCATAGACACCGATATATATATACAGATTTCTATACATGAAAATAAAACACACCATAATTTCACTATTTTAATTTACAACGTTTGTTTGCGTTAAAACCACTAGATGGCACTTCAACATTCAATAATGTGCTAAACGCATCTAAAAAGCCACGAATATGCTATTAAGCAATGTAATAAATCTGATATCGTTGTAAAAACACAGTATACCTTATTGATATACCTGCCTGTGTTTAACAAGTAATTCTCTACAGTTTAAAATATTCTTTTCTTAAATTAAATCCACTACTTTGTTGTGAGAACCAATAATCATCCTGGTCTCTCGGTGGTGTTAAGACTTTGGTTGAAGAAAGCACCCTGAACGCCGTCTTGTGGCGTGAAGGTGGAAGACCATACACGATAGATTTCTTGATTTTCTTTTCGAACTGTAATAAAACGAAAGAAGATTCAAGTGACGGCTATACGAAAATCTCAAAACACAAAAGAAACAACATGTAGCTAAAAAATAATTAGTGTTATATATTTTTCGTAACTTGCCAGTTACATATACCTCGTATGAGGCTAAATTTGTACACTCTAAGTTCCAGCTGTCGTCAAAGGATGTGAATATAATGAGGAATGGAAATTGTTTCTGGAGTTTCTAGGGATCATTACTCTACAGCATAATCACTGTACGATTGATAAGATCATTATTAAATGTCACGTGAAGAGACAGAAGCGATTGTTGCTTTTGACAAGGCATTACTCATTTTTTGTTTTGTTTTTCTTGCATAACTTTATAATTTCCAATTTTTACAATCAAAATATTGTTAATGCAGTCGTTGTAAGAGTTTAGTGTCTATCATACCTCAGCAAGCCAGAAACAACGTGTTTCGTACCCATGTTAAAAGTATGTTGTTATGAAATCGTTATAAATATTGTTATCGTATTGCAGTTTATTTAACCAAGAACAAGAAATTCATATCCTGTAAGACTTTATACTTATTTGTCATGGAAACCAATATTTTTGTCTGCTGTGTATTTGCAGCAATTTGCATGTTTTCTGATAAAAAAAAAAGTATAAAATGGAATTAGTTCGTTATAGAAAGAAGTTTGAATTCACCTCAATCATATATGTATGCTTTAAGGTTTTTACATATTGTATAGGTATTACTAATACAGCAAGTTTATTATGTGTAAAGCTGATATTCATTTATTGCTGCTGGTTCATATGCCTACTGTTAAAATCCATCTAAAGTTGTCACTTGTTATTCAAAGCAAAATATTTTCTTGTTTCAATACGAACATGAAACGAAGAACAACGATATTTTCTTGGTCTGTTACAACGTGATGTCTGTAGAAGGCTAGTTAGTACTTTCAATCTGCATTTGTTACGATGAACACGAACCTAATTTCAAAATTACACGGAATTACCAGCATAAAGATATCAAATCATTTTTTGCACATTAATAAGTGGGTTAACGTTTTTTTAAATAAAAAACACGCAAACATAAACAATTCATAAAGATAGAAAATTAAAACCGGTAAAAAAATTCTATTCTTATTTTTATACTCGTATTTTATGCCATCTTTGGTAAAGGACGCCTAGCTGGAAGTAATGTTATCCATCTACATCAAGACAATGTCACGAAACCAAGAATCAGGAGAACGTAGGCCGTTTTCTTTTTATCTCAGTAAACCACGAAAATAAGCTCAACCTATACATGTCTGTAGTTAAATCTTGTCTATTTCTATAATGGCTTTCGTTTAAGTCCGAAAAGAAAAGCAGTGCTGTAACTAAATTGAAAATAACAAGAGAAAAAAAAAAGCGAAAGCATAACATAGCTTCATGCAATTCTATTGAGGAAGCAACATCCGCGCCATTCATTCCAACAACATTAACACATTATCGTGCATACCCGCATTAAGAAAACGTATTTCGTATACAGAGAAAGTAAAGTCGTTTTCGATGTTTTCTGAGAAACACTTACAAATACTTTAAACGAGTATCTCGAAGATATATTTATATATGTTCCACGACCAAATTCATCAAATACATTGAAAGTGTACTTTTCTACAAACCTTTGTATACAATATTGAAAAAGAAAGAAAAAAGGCACTTTCCATTTTACTTAATTGGATGAGATGCTGGAAATATGCCAAGTTATAAAAACACAGGAAGCACTTCACAACATCAACAGCAGCAAGCTTTAACAGTAAAGTTTGGCCTTTCGAAAGGAGACTAAAATCAATAAATATATATACATATAATGTTTATTGGGTGTTTTTTCCAGATGTTTAATTTTTCACTTTTAATGCTTAGAAGCACAATAGACTTTAAACATTTCGAACCAACAAATCTTCTTGTACAAAATTCAATAATTTTAGATTTTCAAACGAAAGTTTAATTGTAAAATTCCATTTTTATATATATATGGTGTACAGAAAACGCTATTTTTTAATTCACATTCTGAGAATGGTACTTCCATTTTTTTTAACTGAAAAAAAACAGGATATTTTTAATTTAATAACTCGCATTAACGGACCTTGATTTGATAGAATATGGGATAAAATGTATGTTTAATTAGTAAACATTACATATATATATATTTCAATTTGTTGATTGGTATGGTTGTTGTTAAGTACAAAGCTACACAATGGGCTACCTTTTGTTCTGCCCACCACCAGTATCGAAACTCGATTTTATGACATCGTAAGCCAGCAGATTTATCCTTGAGCCAGTGGGAGTAGGGAGAGTACTTTTTCAAACAATAATCATCTGTTACTTTAGTAATGGCGTTCGTAATAGATTTATTTTACTAGTTATTTGCTAAAATATCATAGAGTCGGTGGACTGTATGTAGGGATGGCCAAAGTACTCAATAGGCATAATACAAATATGCACACTAAAAATCAACAATGACAGAGTTTTATTTTAGAAGATAATTGCCACTCACTTTCATTTGTTTCGCTACCCAACAAGCCCATAAATAAGGCAAGAAACTATCGTTAAGATACCAAACCAGAAAGTGACCAACCCACCAAATTGTCCATCTTTCTTCTTCTTGTTTCAGTCGAGATAAATCTGCAACTACTTTATCACTAACGTCAGTTTAAACCTAAATCCACTCTATGTGTTTCTGAGCAGTGCACGATGTCATCGGTTAGCCATAACAACTAGTAGTAATGGCCGGTAATTCCTGTTTCACCCTATACATATGCTTTTTAAATGAGCACCATATTTCTGTAAAAACCTAACTTCAAGGGGTAATGATAATATCGTTTACACTAGAATTATGATTTTTTTTAAATTAATAGATGAATGTTAGATGACTGTAACATAGAATACTCAATGCTTTCTACACTATACAACCGATGTGTTTAGGAAGCCAACCCCTATATTATGCATGAAGCGAAGGAGTAAAAAAAAAATCAATACACATAATATTAAATTTTATTATGCACATTCATAGAATACATTAACTTTCAGTCAATGATAAAACGTCACACAAAAATATTAATAAAAACATTTTGTAAATATAAAATGATGTAGGGATGACAGCGCCAAAACGAATGCAAACAAGAATACAGGGATGATACAGCTTTACATAAGTCATCACAACATGACTTTTAATATTATAATTTAATGTTACACTGTAAAATGCATACTTAACTTTAATATTACTGCAGTTGGAAGTTATATGTTCCTGACGGTTGATATGCAGTTTGTTTATCATAATATCATGGTCATGTCTGGGAAGGCATCAGTGTAGTGTAAATTAGAGCCTAGGACACACATACAAGGAAAACCAAGTTGAGTCAAACATGTCTTAATTATTACAGACTCTCGCTACGAGCTACGAGATCGGTCGAATTGACCGACTTCGTAATAATTTTGTACTTGTGTGTTTTACAGTGTAACCATTACATTTTAATATTAAAAGTCATGTTGTGATGACTT